ATCCCCGCGCGAAGGTGCGTTGCAGCACTTCGACCACCTTACGAATTTTCCAGGCGCGGTCGGTTTGTGCTCTGGGGTCACTGTTCGAGTTGAAATGGAGGTTTCGAGAGATCTCCATGAAACGATCACGCGCCAACACCGAACCAAAGCAGCCTCGAGAGATGGCGCCTTCATCGGTAGTCCTCCAGTGGTTTGACAGCTTCTCACGATTCGGTGCAATAGCTCTTGCTATCAACAAACCCACGAACTGGCAGAGTTCGTGCGGTAAGGTAGGCTTCATTCCTTCCATTTCATGCTGTATGTCACGTCTGGTCTTGCTGGGTAGCTTGTCATTGAAGCGTCGCTTTGCTCGATGACGACGGAAGGCCTCATCCACTCGAAGAGGCAGCATCTCGCGACGGTACTCGTTTGAGCACGCAGCAATATGTTGCCACAATACAACGGGGATGAAGTAGAAAAATAGAGCGACGGGTGAGTCTCCCCGTCGAAGAACTTCAGCTGTAGGTCCTGAGTATCATTGGCGGAGGCCTGGGTAGCTCCCCGTATTGCTCACGGGCTCATATGGTGTCATGAGATAGTCGTAGGTGTCTGGTTCAGTGACATCCTCCCAACCAGACGCACTCATTTCCCGCAGCACATCGTTTTGGAGGTTGCCAGCCAGTACTGCGTCCTCCCCACCAAACTGGGACAAAAAATCTTCAGCAAACATCACCTCAGCTGCTATCTCTTGCTCTGTCGGGTCCGGATCATCAGCGGTGTCTTCAGGAATACAGAGAATGTCAGGATCTTCATCCGAGCCATATTCACCAGTCTCAACATCATCCTTCTCTGCTTCATCTCCAGATTCCATCATGCCATATCTCCGTCAGCCACAGCATTCAAAGCATCGCCGCTGTCGGCTAACAACTCACTGCCAAGAGTCCCCTCTTCAACTTGGTCATCGTTATCACCATCTATATAAGCACGTATAACAAGTCAGAAACATATTCAGCATAATATTCATCTTACGATGCAGTATAATATACTGCATACA